GGTCTTTTCTCAGCACAGGAAGCCAACCAGGAAGGGCTTCATCAACAGGTTTTCAGATCTGTTGTACCAGTGGGATCCCTGGTAGGTTATGGGCAGGAGGGTGAGATCAGGTATGATTCTCCTGCAGGGTCATCTTATTGTCTCTTTGGCTCTCAAAAGGTGAAAGCTCCTTTCAAGGTGGTCCTCTCCATGGGTCCATGAAGCTACCTCCCTTCATTCTGTTAGACCAGGTATGGAGTACTCCAATTCTGGAATACTCTACTTTCTCTGCCATGTCTTTGTAAACAGCGCCTTATTAGATGCTCCAGGAGTAATGTTAAAGTGTTTTGCACTTCCTGGTAGGAAGTGACATAATACAGAGTCTCCAAATGACAGAACTTATCCAGGGGTCAGCAAAGCAGCAAAACTCACTCAGGGATCCCCAAAACAGAACTCACTCAAGTGCCCAGAGCAGCAGAATCACACAGGGGTCCCCTAACCCTCTTAGCAGGCAGAGTGAATGCCAGTCCAGAGAACAGCAAATGTGGATGTTCTTCAGTATAATTGGCAATGATGGAAGCAGTCCCATGCAGCTGCCATTACAGTCAACAGGGCACATGTGGGAGGCATGGCCTACTTCTACCAAAAGCACTGGCAATTATAAACTTTATGAAATAAAAGCCATTAGTATAAACTTAAATGGGGCATGAATTTAAAGAAAAAAATGTCATACAAGGAAAAAGTGTCTTCACACTGGAAATTCATCTTTTCCACTGCCTGGGGCACACTGCTGGGCCTGCAGGGAAGGAAATACCATCCTGGCCCCTAACACACTATTCACAGAACCACAGGAGATCCCCATCATCATCGTGATGCAGAACAAAAGACCTATTTTGTCAATCTCTCAACAGGAGAATAACCCACTGCTATGAGGTGCAAGATGAATAGGGAGGGAGGGGCGGAGGGGGAGGGCACTGACCTCCTCCCAATGCAGGGTGGGCACATAGATGCCTTCTGAAAGGAAGGCACAGGGAACAGGTTTGTGCATGGACATAAAGTGACAGAAGCTGTGGCAGACACACTGCCAGACTCCAGGCCTGTGGGGACCAGCTGCCACTGCTGAGTTCTCATCCACTTCTCCGTGGCTGACTTACTCACTCTGCCAGGGCCCCCTCCCACTTCTTGATGTTCTCTGCATTCCTTATTTGACAGGCCCCTCTTACAACACAACTCTCTAAAACTGCTTTTCTTTATTAAAATCCATTTATTCCAAAGCTCTTAGCCAATGTTACAAATACTGGCTTAAAGCATTAGCCAGAGGATTATTGATAAATAGAAATTTCATCTATAAATATGCCAGTTTCCATTTCTGAACTTACCTTAGTGGAGCCCATCAGAGACCCCACCCAGGAGAAGGTCATTTCTTATAACTTTTCTACATTATTCCCAAGAACAACTTAAGAATAGACGAGGGGGGAAATCTGTGGCAATAAAGGTGAGTTGTCTAAAAATAAATGTGTATGGGCCTCCTTGGTGGCGCAAGGGGTTAAGCACCGCACTGTGAAGCAATCTGCAGCCTCTGTAGTAAGGGTTCAATCCCTGGCCAGCCAGAGAGCAGCCCACATGGTGTAGCAGACCTCTCCTGTCTCACCCACTGCTCCCCTCAGCAGTGTATTTCAGTCAGTCTGCCTGTTCTGTTCCCCACTTTGTCTCTGGTGAATCCTCTCACCCCCCTGCATCTCTGGCCTGTACCCCAGCTGTTGTGTGCACAGATGAATAAATCTTTAAAAAAATAAATAATAAAAATAAATGTGTATATAAACACATCTTCCCAGGTTGGGAAAAAGTTTTTTGCATATGTAAATGAGGACGAAAGGTGTACTGATGATGATGGAACTCAGGGCCAGGACATGAGGGTTATTGCTGATGGATCTTGAAAACAGCATGGAAGGACTCTGAGCTGCTTCATTCTGCCTGTCATTATTCCCTTGATTTCTGAAGTGTTACTTCAGTCCCCCAGAATCAAGTTAGGAGCCTGGAGATACTGTGCAAGCAGTTCCATCATCCATTCTTCTGCCCAGGGCTGCTTTGTTAACTCTGAGAGTCACAATGATGAACAGAGCATGCTTGTGTCACACGCAATCGATTCCATTCCCCATTTGCAACAGGGAAACTGCCTAATGGTATTGTTAAATACCCTAGAATTATTACTAATTTTAATTAGTTAAAATCTTAGTGCACTAAAATCTTGATTAACCAGAACCAAAATAGCCAGAACTGTCATGCTGTGTTCCATTTTTAAGGAGGATAGGACAGATGAAGCAGAAATAAAATCAAAAACCACATTATTATACACATTCCAGTCATCAGATTGGTATATATCTAGCTTGGTCTAACATTATTGACACCTATAATGCAGGATGTGGTGGTCTAGAATCAGGGTGAGGCCGGAGGTGTGGGTGATGAAAGACTTCACCAGAGAACAGAGTGGAGAAAAGAAAAGGTGGGTTTATTAAAATACCCTGCAAGGAGGGCCTCCCCGGTGACGCAGCGGTTGAGCGCTGGACTGTGAAGCTGCCCAAGCCTCTGCAGCGCCAGTTCAATCCCTGGCCACCAGGGAGGGTCCCACATGGCGTGCAGACCTCTCCTGCTATGCCCACTGCTCCCCTCAGCAGTGTATTTCGTCGGTCTGCCTGTTCTGTTCCCCACTCTGGCTCTGGTGAATTCTCTCACCCTCCCATACTTCTGACTGTACCCAGTGCTTGTATAAATAAATAAATAAATCTTTTTTAAAAATTAAATTAAAAAAATACCCTGCAAGGAAAGATCTGGGACTCTTTTTCATGACTGGAGAAGTCCGACTCTAGCCGGGCGTGGTGGCGCGCGCCTGTAGTCCCAGCTACTCGGGAGGCTGAGGCTGGAGGATCGCTTGAGCCCAGGAGTTCTGGGCTGCAGTGCGCTATGCTGATCGGGTGTCCGCACTAAGTTCGGCATCAATATGGTGACCTCCCGGGAGCGGGGGACCACCAGGTTGCCTAAGGAGGGGTGAACCGGCCCAGGTCGGAAACGGAGCAGGTCAAAACTCCCGTGCTGATCAGTAGTGTGCTGATCAGTAGTGGGATCGCGCCTGTGAATAGCCACTGCACTCCAGCCTGGGCAACATAGCGAGACCCCGTCTCTTAAAAAAAAAAAAAAAAATATATATATATATAAATAAAAAATAAAAAAAAAAAAAAAAGAAGTCCGACTCTGTAGGTCACTATCTGCCGGACATCAGGTTTCAGTTGGCCTTCCACAGAGGAGGTGTCCTGCTTGGTGTAGTTTGTCCTGTTTCCTAACTCCTGGGATTTCTCCATAGGCCCCTACAAGTCTTGTTGGACCTATGGCTAGTTCCCATGGCAACCCTATCAGTTTCCCTTATCTATTTTCTGTCTCCTAGCATTGTTCAGCTGAGCAAAGTGCACAGGCTAAGTTTTAACTCTATTAAATGATACCCTGACACAGAATATATCCAAATTTGCCCACAGGGACCATGCTTTCTTTGGCTGGCTGGCCTGCTCCATGCAACCCTGGGTGTACCAGCCTTTCCTCTTCCTCTCAGGCTCATTCTCATTTCAGTCACTGGGTTTACAGCTGGCCAATTTCTTTGATTTCATATTGCCATCCCCTCCATACTCCTTCCTGGTCTAGCAGGTAAAAGAGCAAAGTTGCCTGCAAAGACTTGACGTCACCACAGCTCAGCCCTGTTCTGCAAAGCAGCTATGTAAAAATCTGCTGCCTGCAGGTAAACCAGCCTTTCAAAGAACACTAACAACCAAGGAACCAGATAAAGGGGGGGGGGGAGAGGCAGGATTAGGGTCAAAATAAGGGGGGGTACAATTGTATGGGGGAAATAACCAAAATGAAAATGCATACATTGTGCAAAAATGAAAAATTATATAAGAATTATAGAAAATAAAATTTTTTTAAAAGATTTAAACAAAGGGTACCCAGAGTTGTCACTCAAAAGCATATTCTTTAGACTCCAGAAAAGTGATTAAACCCCAGTATTTACCCTTCTCTGTGCATCCATAACATCAACATAACTTTAGGTCAAAATAACTTAGGAAATTAAGAGATCAGTCCTCCTCAAGCTTGATTAGATATATTTGGACATCAAAGACTCAAGTGTTTCTTATCTATACAAACTCAACGTTTTTAACAGGAAAGTTCTCCTGGGGTAAAATGTGTTGGGCCGATACCCAGGTTCCAATCCTCACTTTATCTCATACCCCTAATATTAAGACTTTTATTTCTGTCAAAAAATCTTTCATGACTACACGGCTCCTGCACATGGAGATGAGGACAGGAAGCACCGCCAATACCACCCCATCACTCCCCCACTTCTTGGGCAAGAGAAGAGTCTGAAACCCCACAAACCCACCTCCCCACCTCCCACCAGCAGGAGAAAGGAGACAACTGTCAAGGCTCTCAACACACACACACACACACACACACACACCCTTCCTTCCCTCGGCGCACACTCACACCCACACCTCCCTCCCTCGGCCCCTTGGACACGCGCCCCTCTCCCACGCCCACCCCAGACGTCCACGCCCCCGACCTCCGCCCCACCGAGGGTGTGGCCATGGCCCTGCGCACGCGCGCCAGAGCGCACCACGGCGCAGCCAAGGGCGGGGAGCCCTGCGCGCAAGCGCAGAAGGGAGTCTGGCTGCGGGGCAGCGAGGGGCGGCTCCGGCGCACTACAACGGAGTCTCCAGGGGGAGCCGCTCAAGATGGCTGCCCCGCCAGCCGAGGGGTGCCCCCTTTCCGGCAGAAAACCCCTCTAGAGCGTGTGCCTCCTTACTGGGCAACCCGGGAAGGTCTGCCCTTGAGCTGCCCGGAGCGCGCACTGCTCGGCGAGCGCGTGCACACGGTCGACGGTCGACGGAGCCGCCCAGAAGCCTCCGTGGAGGCCGGGCCCGCACAGGCGCAGTGTGGCGGCGGCCGCGGCGTGTGTGCCGGCCCGGCCCGCGGCCAGTTCGCTCCGGCCGCTGAGCAGGCTGAGGGCGACTTCCGCCCATCTCGTCGCGGGGCACCCTGCCCGCAGTGAACCAGCCGCACCTCACGGGACCCTGCTCCCCTGGGAGCCGACCCGCCTTACATTCGGCACGCCTCGGGGTGATGCGCTGAGCCCTCATGGCCACACTGGCCTGTGACACCTTCCGAAGGTGATGGGAAGCCCCCCTCACCCACGTGCTAGCCCTGGCGCTGGGCCAGCGCCCACTCCAGCCTCTGGGCGCGCCCCCAGTGGCTAAGTCACTCCTTGTCCATTGGTGCCTTCATTTGTCCTCTCACGTCCACCTCCTGTTTCCGTCCTGTGAAGGTGGCAGCTTGGGCTGGGCAGTTACACTGCTGGACCCACGACCAACTAAGGCTCAGACTTTGTTCTGTATGGATACAGTGCTTTTTAATGTTCTCTGGGGAGCTCCTTCCTTACTTCAGCGCACCAACTGTGAATGTCTGTGCTAAACGAATTTCCCCAAAGTACTTTGTTTTTAGGTTGTTTTTGTTTGTTGCACACTAGATCTCAGTAAATATCTGTTGCCTGACTGACTGAAGGACTGTACTCTTCTGAAGTCACTGATGATTCAGTACAGGAAAGATAAGGCAAGCAGCTAGAGAGAACTGAGAGGGTGTTGGTGTAAAGGAGACAGCCGGCCTCTGAGACTGGACACAGTGCCAGAGATTGGAATCAGTGATTGCTAAGTGCAGCTGTAAAAACCTAATCAGATGGGTTGAGCCAGATACCACATTTCTTTTTTTTAATCAACTCTATTGAAGTATAACTTACCTGTAATAAAATGCAACTGTTATAGAGCAACCCCGATATTAAACGGGTTCCTGGCTGTGGGTCCTCACCCGCGCGCTTTAAAGGGACTTATGAATGCTCTACTACAGACACACGCAAAAGGGTTAATAAAAGGTTTATTTACAAGAGAAAAAGAAATAAGGAAAATGTACAACTCAGGGAGAAAATAGGGAAATAAAGTCTTTAATGCGTCCTACCCGATCCAACGACCTGGAAACCCCAAAGTCACTCTCAGAGCTAGACGGACGCCGCGAGCTGGCCGAGGGCCCCAAAATGGAGAGAGCCCCCAAAGCCCATGTGTCTGCCTTTTGTATCCACCTGGCTGCTTAACCCCACCCTCAGGTCCCAGCCACCTTCCCTTTGGTGGTGATGGGATTTGGAGTTCCCAGTGTCTTTGGCTTTGACCTGGGGTGGGGGTGGAGTCCACAAAGCCTGTATGGAATTTGCTTTGGGACTGCCTTTTCCCCCTAACACAACCTCTTTAAGTGTACATTTTGATGAATTTTGGCAAATATAAGCATTCTTGTAACCATGACCACAGTCAAGATAGGGAATATCTCCATCATCAAAGAAACTATTGTAGGCTCCTCTATACCCAGGCTGCTCCCATCCAGCGGGTCCCTGTGGAGCAGATTTTTCTCTTCTGTAATTTCATATAATTGGATTCACACAGCATGTACTCATTGGTGGTTTATTCACTCAGTACATCTTTGCTATTCACCACAGTGTGAATCAGTAGCTGATTCCTTTTTACTAGTGAGTGTTAAAATGTATGTTTTTAGGCCTTCATCTTTTGATGACATTTGGGTTTTTTTTTTCCTCCAGGTTTTTGGCTATTATGAACAGAACTGCTAAGAACACTTAGTTTCAAGCTTCTGTGTGGACACGTTTTCATTTCCCTTGGGCAAATACCTGGGAGTGAAATAGCTGCATCATATGGTGAGTGTATGTGTAACATTTAAGATGCTACCAAGTTGTTTGTCTTTCTGATAAGTTGTACTTCACTGTAATGTAAATTAGCCTAACTAAAATAAGATACCACTCCACACCAACCAAATGGCCGACCAAGCTAACATGGGAGTGTGGGGCAGCCTTCATGCCTGGTCACTGGAAGTGTAAAATGGTATAGTTGCTCTGGGAAGAGTTCTGGCAATTTCTAGTAAAATTAATTATATGGTTATGACTCAATAATTCTACTCTTAGGTATTTACCCATGAGAAATGAAAATCTATGCTGAGAAAGACTTGTAAAGATGTCTATAATAACTTTGCTTATGATAACCAAACTTGGAAATAGTCCAGTGTAATAACAAATTCAGATCTCAAAAGTGCTTTCACCAGAAGCAGAAAGGTTTCACTTAAAACTCAAGCAAAAAATCATACAACCACAATATGATTTTATTAGGGGGAATCCATTTGCTATTCAATTCACAGTAAAAGGAGGGTGAGATGAACTTTTGGCAAGGCTCAGGAGACTGGCAATGCAGAATGGGTAGAGACCCAGTCTGGAGAGTTCCTGGTTGCTCACCATTCGAAGGGAGGGAAGGATCACTTCTCAGGGGGGACAGTCCCTGGGGGCTTTTGCCAAAATTTTGGAGACTTTGGGACCACAGGTGTGGAATCCATAAGCATCTGAAATTGACTTAAGTGCCTATAGTAATACTGCTTTTCAAAGGCATATTTATCAAGACCACCTATTTTAATTCAGCAGGGAAGTCAGGTTTTTACCCTTGCCTTCACATGTCTGTTTATAAGTGTCTTCATAACCAAGTGGTTGCTTTTTTTTTTTTTTTAAAGATTTATTTATTTATTTATACCAGCACTGGGCATAGTCAGAAACGCAGGAGGGCGAGAGAATTCACCAGAGCCAGAGCGGGGAGCAGAACAGGCAGACCGACGAAACACACCGCTGAGGGGAGCAGTGGGCGCAGCAGGAGAGGTCTGCGCGCCATGTGGAACCCTCGCCAGTGGCAGGGGATTGAACTGGTGCTGCAGAGGCCATGGGCAGCTTCACAGCCCAGCGCTCAACCACTGCGCCACCTGGGAGGCCCCCCACGTGGTTGCTTTTTTATCGATAACTTGCTTCACTCCATCTCAAATCACCTCTGGATCAGTAAGGGTTATTACAATGTCAAAACGTAACATCCAGATGACTATCAACAAGGGAATGGCTAAACTGTGTTATACCCACACAGTGGCCTGCGCACTCACTGGTCTGCAGCAATAAAAGAAAATGAACTACTGACGTGCTCAATATGTGTAAATCTGAAAGACATTTTAAGAGAGTATAGCCTTGAAAGAGTACTTACTGTGTGATTCCATTTATACAATTCTGCAAAAAAAAAAATATATATATGTACGGTGGAAAAAATTGTAGCCAGTTCTCTGTGGGGCAAAAGGGAAGATTGCTCAGTCCTAAGGACCTGCTGTGGGTGAGATGTGGTTTCAGGTGTGCGCATTTGTCAAAGTCCTGGATTCTGGTCCATTTAAGATCTATGCATTCCATTATATGTGAGTTTTATAAACAGTGGTAGAACTTTAATTATCTGCATGCTGAAAGCTTATAAGGAAATTTACTGGTGTCGGCAACTCTGAAATTCATCTCCAAAAAATGAACAATGAATGCATAGAGGGATGTAAAGAAAGATAATTATGGGCCTCCCTTGGTGGCGCAGCGGTTGAGCGCTGGGCTGCGAAGCTGCCCGCGGCCTCTGCAGCGCCGGTTCGATCCCCGGCCACCCGGCGAGGGTCCCACATGGCGCGCAGACCTCTCCTGCTGCCCGCTGCTCCCCTCAGCAGTGTACTTTGTCACTCTGCCTGTTCTGCTCTCCGCTCTGGCTCTGGTGAATTCTCTCACCCTCCTGCGCTTCTGACTGTACCCAGAATAAAATAAAATAAAATAAATAAATAAAATAAAAAGTGTTTTAAAAAAAAAAAAAAGGAAAGATAATTATTTAATCAACATGAGTGGTAAAATAGTATCGGTGGAATCAAGGTATATGTGTGTTTGTAAAACTCCTCTTTTAACTATGTGTGAAAATTTACATAATGTTGAGAAAAATGTATGTGTCAGTCCAAAGGTTTCTACTTTGATCCTTTGGATAACTTAGAGAAGTGCTTTCCAGTTTTGAATTCACGTACCTCTGAGAGATGTGAAGAGGTAAGCAATGCAATGCTTCAAGAATTTTTTCCAGTATTTTAAAAAGCCCTGGGAAATCCCAACACACATCCTCAGTTAGCCATGCTTGCTGGTGGGTCTAGTGTGCTTTGATTTTATTTCAGCCTGTTGGAGTCACCTGACGCCCTTGTGCACCAGATGTGCTGAGACTCAGTGAGGGCAGGCATCCATATCACTAACACTGGGGAGAGTAACCATCTCATAAGAATTATTTAGTAACACAGTATTTTAAATTGCAGCTGGGGTTCATGCATAAGAAATGATAAAAAGGAGGCCTAGTCTCTTGACTGAAATGATGTCATGAGGCTCATGAGCAGTTGTGAGATCGATGTTGATAGTGATGGCTTTTCATGCCTTTTCTGAGCAGTGACTAGGCAGTGTCCATGGAGGAGAGACCAAGGGGCTCTTCCAGCTTACACTGGTCAGTGTGCAAAAGAGAGCCACCTGGGAGAAATGTGCCAGAAGACGTGTGACCCCTGCAGATGGGCATATCTCGCTGGGCACAAGGAGAGTCTAGTGAGCAAGGCTTATATTTAGGGGCAAGACAAACCTACAAATGGATAAACAGACACATGCTGTGAGGTCAGGTCTTGGGGTAAGCTATGGAGAAAAGTAGCAGAGAGTTGGGAACGATTTCAGATAACTTACTCAGGGAGACACTTCTTGAGAGGGACCTGTTGGCAGTGGCAGATACAATGTGATGCCGAGCATGGAAAGTTTAAAAGCCTGCACATCTATTTTACATGGTAGGTATTTTCAGGTTTTTCCCATTTTTGGTCTTAATTTAATTTGGGCTTCTGGTTTTCTGTGGTTGTTTGACATAATTTTGAGCTGGGTCTTATAGGGGGAGTGTGGGGGGGGACCGGAATCTACTCTTGTGCAGCAGGCAGAAGTGCCCTTCTTTGACACCATCCAGCACTCTTCCACATCCCCCCACCCCTGAATTACTGATGCATTGGGACTTACTGGCCAGGGAGGACTTGACACCTTGCCTGTAGAATTCTACAGGCTGGCCTTGTTAGGGCAGTCCCGTCATTGTGGCTCTGACACCAGTAGGCTGCAGGTGCAAACACAGCATCTGGGGAAGGAGAAAATCCTCTAAGCAGAGCTCATCAAGTGTCAACAGGAATGACTCAGGATGGGGGAAGTACGTTGACTTTAACATGTGGAGAAATGCCTGCATGTACATGTGGGCTGCTGTGGCAGGTTTCAGGTGAACTTGTGTAGCCTAGGTCAAGGCATCTTGGTGAAGAAAGAGGATGCCTGGTGCTTTCTGAATCTCAGGTTTGTGCAAATTATACATGAAACTGCATGCCAGTTCTTGGCCCTTTCTAACCTAGTGGGTTGTCCTCCCTGCTGTTCTTGCCTCTGATGTGGGGGTTTCATATAAGATGATGGGGTCCCTGCATCATGGGAATCTTTCCTAAATCCAATGCCATCCTCATGGACATGAGGTCACCCGGCCCAAAATGGCTTTCTGCCATTTCTTCCAGTCTGACAGCCCTCTACTGTGTAAGGACTCAGAAACCCTGTATGTGTGTGGCCTCCTGGCCTCCCCCACATGCCACAGAATACCCCACAAAGGCTGCAGGCACAGGCAGAGAACATCCTACTTCCTTTGTAGGGGCAGAAGGGAAATTTCTACCACATATTGGGATTCTTCTTGGACTGGTCAAGCAATCAAATAATCAGACATATTAGTAGGAAAAACAACAAATTTAATTATATACATATCAGTAATCTATATGGACACAGACTTGAAAGCCATGGGGCAGAATGAGTACATATCCTGAGCTAAGGAATGGGGTAAGGGCCTGGGACTTTAAGAAGAGAGAGGGACTCATGACAAAGACCAGATGCTGTGTGATTAAATGTTTGTCCTACCTTATAGAGAGGTTTCTCTGCTAGGAAGGTTATTTCTCATAAAAATTCTAATTCTGGGTAATACAGTTTTCACTGTTCTAGATAGTTAAGGAAGTGATAAAAGTTTCTCATGGGCCTGCAGGGCCTTGATTAACTTCATCTCAAAATAATCCACATGCCAAACTGACCTGTCCGGGAGGCCTGTCCTGGACCTCTTGGGGAAGCCATCCTTTACTTTTCATGCTCCTCTTAATGGACGCCAGTTGATTTAACTCCAGTTTTAGCTTGTCAAGGATGAAGCTGATAAACATGCTTTGGCAAACATGGTTTTCATTTCCCTTGAGTGGAGTTGCCAGACTTAGTTCCCCAAACTGGCTGCACCATTTTATTCTCCCAGAACTGTGACAGCCATGCTGTACACCCTTGCTGCTCGCTTGCTCTCTTTTGCTTTCTCTGGCTTTGTCTCTAACTCTCTCCCTATCCTCTTTCTCTCTCTCTTTCTGACCTCTGTCTCTCTAGGTCTCTGTCTCTCTCTATATACACACACACGCACATGCGCGCGCACACACACACACAGATACACACAATCATATATTCAGGCAGATTGCTAGTGAGTGTGAAATATACCCCCATCTTTGTTTTAACTCAATTTCTTTTCATCTTTTTCTGTTTAATCTGCCAGAATCAGCATCTGTTTCCTGAAACTAAGATGGCACTGGGCCCTTAATCAAAGGATTAACTCCATGGGTGGGTTTCAAGCTGCTATGGAGATAAGTATTTGAGTTAGGTGCATGTTGCACATGTCAGGAAGCGAGGGTACAACCTGTCTGCATTTTGTCTTGTCTTCTAACTTAAGATGTTCATTTTAAGCACCAGGACCTTGAGTTCTAAGAAAAGAT